GTTCCTGGAGGAGGAACTAGTGTTTGGAATAGGTGTGACTTGGAGGTGGATGAGGGAGAAGACGTGTGAAAGTATCCTGTTGGCAAGATGTCAAGGCCACACTCCCAAATAATTTGAAACAGACCAACACCCTGCCTTCCAGTTGATCCCAGCCCAGAGCAACCCTAAGGGGACAGAGGAGAATGCAGACCACCTCATCTTTGTCCTTCAGGGCAGGCAGTGGGTTTGAACTGCAGTCCAGTGGCAAACCTCCGAGTCACCAAGGCTCCTCCTTGAAGTTGCAGCCAGTAAAATATGTTTTAAATTCTATTTTATTTCTCTGGAATTTGAGGACACAGACAGTCTTCTTAAGAAAGTGTAGCTAGGTAACAAGAAACGGTCCCTGCATTGGGCCTCTACTCAAGTCCTCCCTCAATGCAAGAACACTCTGTTCTATTAACCCAGCATTCCATGTTGCTCACCTTCCCGACACGATCGCTGAAGACAAAGCGGGTGCATAAGCAAATGTAGTGAAGAAAGCTGATGGTGCCCATCTATCAAAAGATATAGTGTCTGGGGTCTTAAAGGCTTGAAGATAAACAAGTGGCCATCTAGTTCAGAAGCAAAAAAGCCCACATGGAAGAAGCACACCAGCCTGTGTGATCATGATGTGTCGAAGGGATCAGGGATCAGGCATCATCAGAACAAAAAATCATATCATTGTGAATGAGGGGGAGTGCAAAGTGGAGACCCAAAGCCCAGCTGTAGGCAATTGGACATCCCCTTATGGAAGGGTTGCGGGGAAGAGATGAGCCAGTCGGTGCAGCAACAATGAAACATACAACTTTCCTCTAGGTCCTAAATGCTTCCTACCCCCTCCCCCGCCACTATTATGATCCCAATTCTACTTTACAAATCTGGCTAGACCAGAGGATGTACACTGGTATAGATGGGAACTGGAAACCTAGGGAATCCAGGGTGGATGATCCCTTCAGGACCAGTGGTGTGAGTTGCCATATCAGGAAGGTAAAGGAAAAGTGGGAGGAGATAGGGGGAACCGATCACAGTGATCTACCTATAACCTCCTCCCAGGGGGATGGACAACAGAAGGGAGACACCGGGTCAGTGTAAGACATGCACAAATAATTATCAAGGGTTCATGAGAGAAGGGTGGGATGAGGAGCTGATGCCAAGGGCTCAAGTAGAAAGAAAATGTTTTGAAAATGATGATGGCAACAAATATACAAATGTGCTTGACACAATGGATGGATGGATGGTGATAAGAGTTGTACGGGCCCCCAATAAGATGATTTCTTTTTTTTTAATAAGGAAGAAATGGCCCCTGTTCCATTGGGCAAAAATCTACTAATTCTGCAACAGAAAGGGCCTCGGGTGGAGACAGGGCTGTGGGCTTCGTCCTGACTTGCCCGTTGGTCAGCTCTGTGGCCTCTCTGGGCCTCGCTTTCCTTAGCTGTCCAAGGAGGGCAGTGCGCTGGATTGGCTTTTGTCACACGGTCGGTGGTGAAGTTGCTCTTCTCATCTGCCAGGGGCCAAACCCACCATAAGTGCCCTTCCAGAGAAGCGGCGTGCCTGGCCCTGCACATTGCTGTCAGGGTTTCCAGCCCTCACCGTCGACCTCCGTACTCGGCTCCTGACAGACAGACAGCATGGTGCCTCGCTGCAAGCTGCACGGTCCCAGGACGGTCACCTGACTTGTAAAGGTGCTGGTTGTATTCTAGGTCTAGAGACTAATATGTCACAATGTACGGAGAGTAGATTTAAAGGGAAGAAAGACTCTTTTTCTCTCCCAGCATGCAGGCCTTTCGTTATTTCACTCCTTGCCACTTTAATCCTCCCTTCTGGACCGCGGGCGTGTGTGTGTGTGTGTGTGTGTGTGTGTGTGTGTGTGTTTAATGGAAATGGCATCATATTTTGTTCAGAAGCGTGTCATCTTTTTTATTGATAATACGAAGACAATACTCACAAAAAAATAAGGCAAATTACTTTTGTGCACAATTTTAAAATGTGCAACTAGAAACGTGTAAAAAAACTGAAACTGCTCCAGCCTGTCTTTCATGATTCACTATTAGCATATTTTGTACCTACCCTCTCAGGCATTTTTACAAATATGCAAGTATATAAACACATTGGGGGTTTTTCTCATAAAAAAATGAAACTGTTTCTGAACAAAAGTAGAGTTTTGACACACATACATAAAACCAACTGTCTTATAACCTGCTTTTCTCCCTCCAAAACATGAAGTGGCGAGCCATCCGGTCGGCCAATAGAGAGCCACGCCCCACTTTTGCTCCAGACTCCGTTCTGTCCCCTTCACGTGGTGCAAGAGAGAGCGCTGAGGACCCTTTCAGCTGGTCACCAGGACAATGCTTTCTGATTCCACTCTCAGGCCTTAGCTCCCGCCGCTCTCCCGTGGGCAGAACTCCCTGTGAGCGGCTCTAAGTGTCCGAAATCGCCACGTATCAGATGACGAGAGCTCTCGCTCTGTTTATTCCCTCAGCAGCCCGCACTTCACCTGCTCCTCAAAGGCACTGGGGCTGGGCTAGACCCCAGTCTGCCCTGAGTGCGCCTTCGCGGCAAAGCTGCAAGGCTGTATCTTGCTTACTTTGGACAGGAGGTCGGGAGAGATCGTCCCGGAGAAGGACGTCATGCTTGGTAAAGTGGAGGGACAGCAAGAAGGAAGGAAAGCCCTTGTTGAGACGGACGGACGGGTCTGTGGCTGCAGCACTGGGCTCAGGCATAGGAACGATTGTGAGGGTGGCCTGGGACCGGGTCATGCTTCCTTCTGTCGTGCATAATGGCGCTATGGGCCGGAGCCGACCCGATGGCACCCCTCAACCATAGACCCCGAAGTAGGGCTGTGCGTCAGTAGAAGACCAGAGCCCCGCTTGAAAAAAAAAAAAAGCCCTTTGCCCCCCGGCTGACGCCCGCTCCCGGCACGGATGGTTCCTTGGGGTTTGCAGCACTGACTTTTCCGTGGGAGATCACCAGGCCTTTCTTCCCAGGCACTCGTCGGTGGACTTGAACCTCCAACCTCTGGGTTAGCCGTTTGGCTCCGTAGCCATTTGCACACACACACACACACACACACACGGCCTCCCTGGATAAGCTCAGGTCCCACAAAATCCGCAGCAGCCCCCGCTGAGCTGACTCTCCTCACAGCCAGAGAAGGGCAGTAAGTTACCACCCGCAGTCTCCGTTCTCTCCCCTCCCAGTCACCCTGCAAACCAGTCTGCGTTTGGGTCTTGGCATTCCACCCAGCCCACACTCAGCTGAGCCAGCCCCGCCATCAGCAACACGATGGACCTGTTTCTGCGTCGTCAGGCCTGTGCAGCCTCTGCCCCACACCCCACTTCCCTCTCCCGTTGCCCCCACTCTCCACCTCGCCAGGAAAGCTGGTAGTTCTCGGGGCTCCACCGCACGCACTTTTCTCCTCGCCCCACAAGGCCTGGGAAAGGCCAGCCCCAGGACGCAGTGCGCCTGTGTCATGAAGGCCCTTCCATCCACAGACAATGCCGGCTCTGGGAAGCCCGCTCTCTGTCCCTGGAACAGATGGCAGGAAACCCGAAGGATGGTGTCCGTGGCCTGAGAGATGAAACGCTCATGTCCTGAAAGCCCCTGTGTCTTTGGCCTGCGAGCCTCAGCCAGCCAGCAAATGTTTGAAAAAGGCGCCGGTTTCCCTCTCGAAATCGCCTTTCCTGTTCTCAAAAGGCAGTCGCTGCCACAGAAAGTCAGTGCCCCAGCCCCATAGGACTCGTCCCACTGTGTGCAGCGGGAAGAGAGGATCCCAGCGCACCCGTCTGCCTGTGCGAGAGTGAGACAGGAGAAAGGGACATAGGTGGAGGGTGAGGGCACTGGTGCCGCCGAGCACCTGGCAGGAGCCCCACAGGGCCAGGCCCGGAGTCTTCCCAGAGGGCACGAGGACAGCCGGGTCTGGCAACAACGCCTGGAGGAGCTGACCAGGAAGCCGTGGAAGGGCGCTCCAGACGTTGGGGAGACGCTGAGCAAACTCGGGGGAAGAGAGCAATGCAGTCCATTAATCACAGTCGTCCTGTCTTTTAGGGTGTCCGAGAGACAGTGATTTGCTACAAGTGATGATAGGCAGTGGTCTGAAGCTGAAGGTGTGAGCTGGAGCCCCCCGGGACCCGGATGTGGAAGGATGGGCAGGCAGTGAGGAGGCCCGTGAGAGGCTGGCCATGGTCATCGCATGTGGCCTTTCTTCGGCCAGGGAGTGAGAGGAAACGCTGGGGACGCCCTCCAGAAATACGGTGGACGAGCAAGGGACTGGCCGGTGTGACTGTCCTTAAAGCGGTGGATTCTGGCTGTGAGAGCAAAGGGGTGGAAAGTTCTAGATGAGGGCAAAGAACAGGCTGCCTAAGGGGACGAAAGAATGTAGTGATCATGAACATCACCCGCTCTCCAAACATATGACTCCGTAGGCAAGACGTAAGATCTTTGATATGAAAACAAGTCCAGTTGCATGAGCGTTTGTCTTAATAGCTCTGAAGTATTATGTGAGATTTTGAAAAGCACCTGTCTTTGAAATGTTGAGTTTCAAAGGTCAGTGTGTTTTTCTTTCCCTCCTCTACCAAATCCTTCGGGTGCAGCCATTCTAGACTGTGGCTACTTAGGAAACACCCGTTCGGCAGACTCTCGTCTTCCCTTAAGCTCTGCGTAACCCTGAGTTGCCCTGTTCCAGAAAGTGCTCCTGGCATTCTCATGGGTGTCTGGGCACAGAGGCCATGCGGCGGCGTCCATGAAGAGGTCAGCTGTGAGTATTCTTCTTGTGGGACACACTTTGAACTCTTCCTTTACACTTAACTCACTCGTAGAAGTGAACTCAATCCATTTGAACCCAGCTTTGCGGAAAGGCGTAATCAGAATGGAAAAGACCTCAGGTTTTACAATATTGCTTGTTTGTTTTTGTTTTAATTGGCTTTGAGTTCTAGTCCGGTCCAGGTAACACTTCTTACTCCCTTACCCCTCTCTCCTTCTCGCTGTAGCGTATAAAGTCTGGGAGAGATGGCAGTGGCGGAATCCGCAGCAAGCGAGAGGGGAGTGCTGGCAGTGGTAAGTCCTTCCTGCTACCTATTGACAGACTGGAGTTGAGAGAGTCCTACCACACGGACTTCTCGAAACATCTTTAAGTAGCCCAAACTGTCCTGTATCTGTTTGTTGGTTTGCTTGCTTTTTTTGTGTTGGACACAGGGAAACCTCACTCCGATTTGGCCAGCAGTTGGTCTGATATGTAAATCAGGCTTGGCTGCTGTTGGGTGATTTAATTCTTCCATAGCCACGCCTATTCCTGCCAGTTGGTTAACAAAATAAGCTTGCCTCTGACAGATTACCATCGAAGACATCCTAATGAGGTTCGACTGGGTGGACATTTGTGGCCTTCTCGTTAAGAAGTTGCCACGAGAAGTGGGTGCTCGGGTGGAATGCTAGCAGTCGGGAATGGTCGGCCTCACTGGGGGTGAGGAATTTGGAGGCCTGGTTCTCATCCCTGCCCTGCTCATGACCAGCAGTCTTTGGCTACAAGGTCAGTGGTCACAGTCGGCTTCTGGTGATTAATAAAGTCCTTGGCATCGCCAAAATTCTTTACCTCCGTTACTTGTGACACAGTTTCTTACTAAGAGGTCTTGTTGACTTTTCCTTCTCTTCTTCCCCCATGAACAAAATCCACCTCCTTCTCTGTGTACTTCAGGAGATAATAAATTAAACTTAATAGGAGGAGTTCATTGGAAAACAATAATAACACGGAGTTACTATCTGTAAACAGGCGTACCTTCTCCCCTCTTGATGCGTCAGACTGCCCTGCACATCTGGGCCTATACATCTCTTATTTCTGCTTGTGGTCAGCAGTCAGGACAATGGAAACATGCACCTCCTCATTTGGCTGCCACAAACATGCCTAGCATGTGCCAGCTCCTATGCTTAGAGCCAGGAACACCAGAATGGCGGAGGCAGGTCTCTGCGCTTGAGTTATTTAGAACCTGCTTGAGAGACAATTGACAATGTGACTGAGAGGGCAGAGAAAGGCGCCCGGGCTTCTGATGTCCTATGGCCTGAAAATGCAGTGGAGACAGGAAATCCTTTTTTTTTTTAAGGAGCTCTTACAGATATTATGACAATCCATAATTCAATTAGATCAAGCATAATCATACAGTTGCTGCCACCATCATTTTTAAAACACTTTCTTGCTTCTTGAACTCTTTGATATCAGCTCCCCTTTATCCCTCCCCTCCCCCACCCTACCCCCAAGAACCTTTATCATTATATTATATATTATTATTTTGCCGTATCTAACACCATCCAATGTATCCTCTCAAGTGGGGTTATGAAGCCCCCATTGCTATCGATTCCCCCTCCCTTCCACTCTTCCCATACCCTCAAGGAGTCATTACACCCATTACTATTTCTGAAGGGTTTATCTAGCTTGGATTTCTTGCATCCAATGACCTTAATTATACTAATGAGCATACACAAATCTCACAAGATTAATGAGGTGAAACCAAGACCATAACATAAGGGGGAGAGCTAAAGGACATGTGTGCGTTTCATAGTGCTGCACCGCCCCTTGGACATATTATCCCTTCCATGAGGCCCTTCGGTGAGGGACGAGGCAGGATATCTTTAGGGACGCCCACGGCCTCATCTTTCTCCCAGGGTCGCTCTCACTCACTGCCACCCAGTCAGTCGACTCCTAGCAAGCCTCCCTCTAGGTCAGAGAACTGTCCCTAAATCTTTACAGGAGTAGAAACCCTTGTCTGTCTCCTGATGGTTTCGACTGCCTGACCTTGCAGCCCAGTGTGTGGCCCACTGCACCCCAGGGCCCCTCCCTTTCACACAGTACTCCATAAGTCATGTGCATCTCAGAGCAGGGGGGCGGGGGGAGCGGCACGGAATCCCTAATAAGGAGAGTGAGAGGGTTTCTCCTGCCCTTGACCACCGTCCTGCAGAGTCACCTCTCGGTCAGTGAAGCAAACACTGATGACGAGTCAAGGTCAGGTCGCCCCACGTTCAATACTGTGTATCAAAGAAGTCTTTCTGTGAACGCTCCACCTCCTGCTCTTGGCCTTCCCTCACCACTTTTTTTTTGGACCATTTCTCATTGTGCCCATCCAGTTCACTTGAGTCCAATATCAACAGTGGGCCGGGGGCACCACCGAACTCTATTCCCACCAGGAGGCCGTCGGAGGCGTGTTGACAAGCAGTTTCTTGTTCCCTGGCCCCCTTGGCACACATTTAAAGCGCCGCACAGCCCCTTCCAAGGGGCTTGTTGTTTTCTTCACACTGCCTGCCTTTTCCTTCCTCCGAGAGGCCTGCACCCTCCTTTCCCAGTCCAGGCTGTCCCCTGATCGGTGAACAGTGCTGGGACCCGCGATTGAAACTCGCTGTCCAGTCCCCCGGGCTCTGAAATGCACGCAGTCCTCAGAAAGGGTGGTTTGCGCCAGATCAGACTAGTCTCCTGGACGCCTTGCCCTTCACTGCTACTGGTAGCTACAGTTTACCACTGTCTGGTAAACTTCTCTGCAGACGTTGGCGCTCAGCTCCCTTCCTGCCAGTGGTCCTCACGTTGGAGCACTCTCAGAATTACAGCTGCCGAGCCCCCCACCCACCCCCACCCCCTGCACTGGAAGCCCAGAGTCAAGTGAGTATTCACAACGTGTGATAGTCCTCAGTCACCTGTGGTCTGGCTTCAGCCACCAGCCTCAGACCCTGGCTCTGTCACACGCTGTCTTTGGACAAGGACTTGTCACCTCTCTGACGCTTCAATGAAACAATCCAGAGAACACGTTTAATACAGTGCCTGGCATAGAGTCAGTTGTGACTCAGCGACCTTGTGAGACCGTGGGTTTCTGAGACTGTCACTCTTTACAGGTGCAAAGAGCCTCCTCTTTCTCCCATGGAGTAGCTGGCAGTTTCAAACTGCTAACCTTGAGGTTAGCAGCCCAATGTGTAGCCTGCTGTGCTACCAGCGCCCTGTGGTATATGTTGAATAGACGTTAGCCCTTAAGGACTCAGCTGCTACTCAAAGGGTCAGCAGTTCAAATCTACCAACAGCTCTGAGGGAGAGAAGGCCTGGCCATCTCCTGGAAGACAGGGCAGCCTGGACTCCCCATGGGACAGTCCTACTCTATCACGTGGATCACTGAGCATCAGAATTGAGCAACAACAAGCCAATTGTTTGATACAAATCACAGGCAAATGAAAATAGCGTTTGGTTTAGAGTTTCAGTATCTTTGCTTTTATGTTGTTGGGAGCCATGAAGTTTGTTCTCATGCACAGACACACAGCCCACCCACTCCTACGCCATCCTCACAACCTTGTGATGTGGGAGTCCATTATTAAAGCCACTGTGTCAATTTATCTCACCGAGGGTCTTCCTCTTTTTCACTGCCCCCCTCCCCCCACCCTTTACCAAGTCTGATGTCCTTCTCCAGGGACTGGTCTCTCCTGACAGCATGTCCGAAGCTCAGGAGACGAGTCTCGCCTTTCTGGCCTCTAGGGGGGCTCCTGGCTGTACTTCTTCCGAGACAGACCTGCTTGTTCTTGTGGCGGTCCGAGGCCCTTTCCGCATTCCCCACCAGCACCGTAGTTCAGATGCATCCGTTTTCTCCGGTCTTCCAGTTATCCGGTGTCCAGTTTTCCAAGCCTGTATCAAGGCACCGGAAAATGCCATGGCTTGTTTTCATACAACTCACTTAAAATAGATGAGCTTGTTTTAGTTACTTGAAGTGAAAAATGCCTAATTTTTGTCCATGAAAATCTTGCTGCCAAAATCTCACCAAGATTTTCAGCCACGTTCCAGCCTGGTGCTGTGGCCTTTCTAAGGGAGGCAGCCCGAGCACACGTCTGCGCTCATTGTCTCTGTCCTTGAAAGGACACCGTGTCCTACTTCAGCACTATGGTTGCCTTTTGCGGCTGATTTTGAAAAGGTTTCATTTTCAAATCATGTTTCATTTATTCTGTGTGAGTCCCCCTTTCCCACCTACCCCAGGGTGCTGTCTCTATTTTTAGTTTCGATTATGTCTTGGGTGCTAACCCCCTCCTCTGAGAACCCATCCCTGAGTTTTACAATGAAAAGAACGTTGTCATGAAAATCAGCAGCATAATGTGACTCTGTGAACAGGAATCCGCTTCACAGCCAACTTTTTGAGGAAAAGCTCTTGTGTATAAAATCGATTGTAACCGTGTCTTAGTTTCTTTGTAAAAACTTGAAGTTCCATTTGAAGATTGAAGTCCAAGGGTGAACTAGTCCTTTGGTTGGAATGCCTTCTCACAGTTGTGCTGGGCCTGACCACCGTCCCAGAAGGACCGACTCATGCCTAGTGTCTAATTGTGTAACGAGCCGAGGCTCCTGGCCTTACTACCACAACTCTACAGAGGGGAGCTGGAGAGAAGACCGTGGAGACAAAAGGGGGCGAGGGGCACCCAGTCCTACACACACACAATCTAGCGGTTCTTTTTCTCCCACTTTTCCTTCCTACCTTTCTGCCTTTCCATCAGCAAAATGCATTTGTCGAGTTCCCTAAGTAGACCCACAAAGAGAACGAGAGGGAGGGAGAAAGGAAGGAAGTGGAGCATGGCTCCTGTCAGCTCAGCCTCTTCCCCTAGAAACCTGAAATCATAATTGGGCTAGGCACCCTAGTCTCCAACCACTTTTAAGTGTGCATGTTTTACCAAGGAAGCTTTCAAAAGACAACTCATTGCCTTCCGGTTGATGCTAACTCATGGGACCCTCTAGGGTAGGGTAGCACTGCCCCTGTGGGTTTCCAAGACTGCCACTCCTTATGGGAGTAGAAAGCCTCATCTGTCTCCCGAAGAGCCCTGGTGGTTTCGAACTGCTGACTTTGAAGTTAGCAGCCCCAATGCATAGCCACTACACCACCAGGGCTCCCAAAGAAGACTTTAGTCATGATAAATATTAAAAGGCACTTAATAAAGCAAAAAGACAGTTAACAGCACCAACAACATTAAAGCTTCCTCTTATAGGCACAGATTTGCCGGAAGTGACCCGAGTCGGTCGCTGACTTGCGGCACTTCTCTGCCGCAGTGACTCAGCTCTG